GAGTCATATAGAGTCATATAGAGTCATATAGAGTTATATAGAGTTATATAGAGTTATAACTATATATAGATACCTTTCTTTTCTCTTTTCTCTTTTCTTTGCCGACCGGTCGGTTTCTTTGCTGTTATTTTCATTTAAATTGAATAAATAAGATTTTACCATTCTTTTAGGTTTTTCAGGTTCATTTATCCAGGTTGAAGCTTCCAGAGGAATTCATCGTGGACGATCAGAATGGTTGTGATGTCACGCTACGTTCGTTCATTCGGTGGCAAAGAATGCACGCCCTGCTGGGGTACGTTTTACGGTTTCTTTGCGGTTCTTTTTTTTGCCAGTTGGCTGGCTTTACCGACGGGTTTCACCGCGGCTCGTTTTTCTATTTTCATTTAAATTAGTCAAATAAAAAAGATTTTTCCATTTCATCCATTTTATTCAGGTTGAAGCTTCCAAAGGAATTCATCGTGGAAGATGTCAGGCTACGTTCGTTCATTCAGTGGCAAAGAAGATACGCCTGGCTGGGATACGTTTTATTCTTTTTTCTCTGTTTTTCTCTGTAATTTAACATTAAGTAAGAATGCTCACACGCACACGCACATACACACAATTACATTAAGTAGCTATATAGGTAGGTTAGATAGGCATAATTTTAATTGTAGGTAGGATAGATAGGAAGCATCCAACACTAATGTAGTTGAATAGGTAAGTAGCGTAAGTTTTTCTCTTCTATTTTTTCTCGCACCCACATTACACGCATCAGCGTATTATACACACACACACACAAATACATACATAAACACATTTTAGTATTTGAGCGTTATTTTATTTTCATTACACATTCTAATTTATTATTACTAAGGTTGAGAGTAATTTAATTTCATAGGTAGTTAAAAGCAATAATTTAATTCTAGGAACAATCTTGTAATTTAAATTAAATAAACGCTGTAAGTGTATTGAGAGGTAAGTTAGTTATTAAGTTTTACATTATTATTATTAGGTTGGAGCCCAAGGCATTACGTAGGTGGTGGGGTGGGTGCCGAAAGGCCAATGAATTGGGCTCTTGAGTTTTGTAATTTTAGGTAAGCTAGGGCCATAATGTAATGAATAGGTAAGTTAAGGCTACGTTGTAACACACACTCATTAATAGATTTAGGGTTTAAGTTTTATATTATTACTAAGTTGGAGCCCAAGGCATTACGTAGGTGGTGGGGTGGGTGCCGATTGGCAAATGAATTGGGCTCTTGAGTTTTTTTGTAATTTTAGGTAAGCTAGGGCTTAATCGTAATGAATAGGTAAGTTGAGGGTACGATAGCCGATAGACTCTGAATTTCGAAGTCTGTTGTCAGAGGTAAGTCTTGGTGGCCAGTGGTGTACCGGCAATGGTTTACTATCCGGACGGCAATGGTTTACTATCTGCACAGTAATGATTTACCATGCGGCACGGCCATAGTCTACTACCCGCACGGCTTCCGGACGGCAAATGGTTTACTATCCGCACGGCAATAGTATACTATCCGCACGGCAATGGTTTTCTATCTGGTGCCCTGGCTGTCGGTGAACCTCTGTGCAAGGAGGAAGAATGAAAGGGGACTTTCGACTATCGTACCATTAACAATATAATATAGATTAGTTAAGGTAATTGAATAGGTAATTGAATAGGATTATTTTTATTAAGCAATTTGAGATGCAGGCACCGCTAAGCTTTCTGATGAGAATCTACTCTTTCTCTATCTGTCTCCATCAACACGGGCTGTCTTTCAACAACAACCTCGAGGAGGACTGGCACCAGTTTTGGAGGACAACGTAGGAACCGGACCGCATTCAACATTCTGCCTTTGTCGAATGGACGACGGTAAGTTTTTTTTTCATTTTACTTACTTTATTATTTTAAAAATTTTATTTATTTGACATTATTTTCATTTTATAATTTAATTTTTTTTGCTTCTAAGATTCTAACATTCATTTACTACTACGCAAATAAAAAAATTTTGTTTACAGAATGATGAGAGGTGGGCAGTGGTGGGAGTCAGCACGTTTTAGATGGTGGTCTCATGATGATTTACATATGATGATGGTGGTGTAGGAAGAATCAGCTCGTTGGCTGTTCGACTAACACTCTGAAGTTCGGATGGTATTTTGTGTGCCGACCAGATGGTGGTGGTCGGTGCAATGGAAAGTACAGTAACGACGATTTTTGAAGTAAGGTTTAGTTTCGTTTTTTATTTTTCTCATTCGTTCATTTTATCACTCAACCTTTTAAATTATTCTTTTATTAATTGATTCGTTAATTCATTCTGTTTATTAATTGAATCATTGATTTATAAATTAATTCATTCATTCACTCATTCATTCAGCCAATTATTCAATCATTCAGTTAATCATTTATTCGATCGTTCCTTTGTTCCTTGATTTACTAATACGCTATTAAAAAATGTCTACAGAATGATGAGAGGTGGGCTGTGGTGGGCATCAGCACGTTTCAGATGGAGGTCTCATGATGATCGTTCCGATGACAATTCGAAGATAACAACAACGACGGTTTTTGAAGTATGATTTAGTTTCATTTTTTTATTTTTCTCATTCATTCATTCATTTTATCACTATCTTTCAAATTATTCCTCAGTTAATTTATTCATTGATTCATTCTATTCATTCATTAAATCATTGGTTGATTAATTAATTAGTTAATTTATTCATTCAACCAATCGTTCAATCATTCAGTTAATCATTTATTCGTTCGTTTCTTTGTTTCTTGATTTACTACTTCGGTAATTAATAAAAACTTGTCTACAGAATGATGACAGGTGGGCTGTGGTGGGCGTCAGCACGTTTCAGATGGTGGTCTCATGATGACCGTTCCGATGACAAATCGAAGATAATGTTAAAGGTAAATTTGTTTTTGTCTCATTGTACTTTTGAAAGTACTCGAATTTGAACAAAGATTGAGTGTTATCTCAAAAAGATAAGTTGCCTATTTTTTCCAATTGCTTGTTTTTTATTTTAGTGAATTTTTTTTTTCAATTTATTTTTCAGTATCCGGTCAAATTCATTCCATCGATGCGTGTCAGATGATAGTCGGTGCAATGGAGGTTCGTCTGTAGTGAGTGAAGTTTCTGGAGAGTGCGCGCCCGCACATTTACATACACACACATCAATACAACACATACATACACAACATCCATTCATTCGGTGTCGTTGTTGCTATGTTTCTCTTCAACTTTATATTTTCTTTACCGTGAACCGGGCTTTAATTTAATTCATAGGTAAGTTAGGGACTGAGATGAGTTAAACAATTGTTAGTAGGCTAGGGCTTAACGTTATTTAAAAAGCTTCAAGTAAAATAAAAACGCTAAAATATGTTAAATAAAATATTTGAAACATCTAAAACGAGAAATACAAATTTTTAGGTAAGTGAGTTGAGTCAATGTTTATAAGTAAGCTAGGGCCCTGAGTAATTTTATTATAGGTAGGTGACTGACTATTATTCTTGCGACTTCTTACTAGTTTTGTGTGATGTGTTTGTTTTCGCTTCACAACACCACACCAACAAAACAAACTACATTTCATTCTCGTCGTCGCCTTAAATTGTACCTTTTTGAACAATCTTTTTAATAATGTCTATTTATTTATTCATTAAATGTTGACTGGTTTCTAGTTTTTTTTTTAAATTGGTTATATAATTTTTGAATATTTCTTGATTTACTTTGTATATATGCATGTATAAATTATTTCTGTTTAGTATGTTGATTTAGTCATTATGATATGTTGTGAACTGTTCTTACTAAATGTTCATGTTACGTGGTTTATTATCCTTCGAGAACTTCTAAGGAGTGTGTATGATAATAATAATAATGGATAATTATTTTTATCGGTCGATATTTTGTTATATTTGTTTATTTAAAATACGAATTTAAAAAAAATTGACATTTTAAAATTTTAATTAACCGTCACTTTTCATTTTTGAATGAATTCAAATAAAAGCAACTACTGTGTTTTTCTTTCTTTACTAAAATCTCGAAATTCTTTGTAGATCTGTACGGTTGACTGTTTGTTCGAGTTTAAACAGGCCTTGCTAATTTTTTTTATTTATTTTTGTTTTTATTTTGGTTTATTTGGTTCATTCAATTTAGTTGATTGATTGATCGGTTGATTGATCGGTGGTTGATTGATTGACTGACAGACTGGCTGGCTGGCTGACTGACCGACCGACTGACTGATTGTTTGATTGATTTATCTCATAGTATTGTATACATGAGAAAAAATATATATTGATTTATTTAAAGCATTTTATGTACAAAAAAGTGCTATCGTAAGAGTTCTATGAAACCCTGTAAGCCACTGCTGTAAGCCAACGTATGATTTCAGCAGCCAGTTTCTTATGAGCACCAGCAGAATGTAAAATATTCATTGAATATAATGAAGATAGTTGTTCAAATAACAATTTTGATTTATTTAGGCCGTTTATTTTATAAGCAAACCAATTTTTAACATGATCGAATAGTGTAAAAAAAAAGGATGACTATAGTTCAATCCTACTAAGCCAACCTTCGGCTTCAGTAAGCCACCGGATTTCACCGGACCAAAAGCAATTTTTATATTCAAATTAACAAAAATAATTTAATAATACATAATTCTATTAATCATTATTAAAATTAAATAGAATTACTACAATGTTTTTAGCATATTAAATCAAGTAAATATTTCATTTAGCTTGCTCGTTAAAATCCATGCAATTTCGTAAGCCAACAATCCAAGCACGACAAATAGCCCGACCGATAGATCGAATTGATCGATTAGTCCTATTATTCTAGTTATGTGGTTTGGAGCAAGGGGAGACATTACTGAAAATAATTAAAAGTTGAAAAAATTGAGGTTCTTTGCATATCCCTGCTTCAATCCATAAGAAGGTGTTGTATGCTGGTAAATAGGCCTCCCCTTGACACACTTATTACAAAATTGAATTAAAACTGCACATTTCTTAATAAGTTTACTTTTCTCTGTATGACTAATTTCTGCTGGTTCACTTTTCGTCAGTAGTGCCTGCTACAAACGAAGTTTTTTTTTTACACGGAAATAAAATAAGACAATGTCTTCCGAACACAGACAGGTTTGTTGGGGCCTGGGATGATTGCTGGGTGCTGGCTATTTGTTTGTCGGTTTGTATGTATGATTTTTATTTAACGTTCACTTACTTATTCCTGCTAGCTTCCATCTTTTTTCTTTCTGAATATGTTATTAATTGATTTTTATCAGAAAGGCTTCATGTTTTATTTCTGTCTTATATTTTTTTGGCCTTTAGGGAGAATTTGTTGTATTTGTTTGCAAACTTCAAAATATGTGTGTATGCAGTTTTATTTAAAAGTTTCAATAAACATCACAGACTTATTTATTTTATGACAATTAAAAATTTTAATATGATGTGGTAAACCCTGATTCCATGTTTTAATTGCTGATTACTAATCAGTAGATCATACGGGGGAAATTATTTTTTTTCTGATCACAAAAATTTATTGCATCAATTGCACTATGAATAAAAAAACAATAGGTTGCAAATAGTTGCTGATATATTTGATTAAATTAAATCATAAATTAAATAGAGAGTCAAAAACACTTTGTAGTTTGTGCCCTGTATAAAAATAATTTTACTTTGTCATATAAATGTCACATTAACAGATAAATGAGAAAACTAGCCAACATTTTTTAATACTCTGAACTTCTGTATGAGTTTTTTTCTTTAGCTCTTTAGCAGAACTACACTGTCACACACAGAGTGAAACAATCCTGTTTGATTTGAGACATACAGATGACGAGAATGTCCAATTTTAAATCACACATGGTAAATTCCCTGATGGCTAAAAAATATTTTTCAGACTATTGAAGCTTAAATTAGCAAACTTTAAACTATTATCTTGTACTAGATTTTACTTGACTGTAAATTAAATGTTGATGGGTCTATTTTATATTTTGTAATTTATTTTGTTAATTGTAATTTGTAATAAATCCTATCTTTGGCTTGCTTTTATAGTGTATGAAAATATTTTGCCAAAAGTATTAGAAAACAATTGAAGGAAGATAGATATAATTATAGAATCAATTAATTATGAAAAAAAAAAACTCATTTTTGGTCCAAAATTCAGTGTATATGAAAAAAAAATTAAATAAATTATTGAAACGGACCTTATAAACATTTCCAATCAATCAAAATCCTTCTTCCAATCACACTTCAAAGTTGATTGTTCAAAATTAAAGACGCCAATTTTTGTTCTAAATTCATTCACACCATTAGCAAAATAGCTCTTTCTCCCATCAGATTAGAACAATTCATCAGCCAACTTCATCATTTGAAATAATTTAATACATTTTATGTTATTTAATTTTGCCAGTTAACCTCCAACGAGGCGACGGACTGTGTGGGGTTCGCCAACCTGCCCAACCAGGTCCACAGGAAGTCAGTCAAGAAGGGTTTTGAGTTCACTCTGATGGTTGTTGGTTGGTTGGTTTCTTTTGATGCTTTTTATGCACTCCATCCACTAAGACCTTTATCTTATGACACCTTAAATATATTAACACTCTGTAAATATTTGTCATTTGTTCAATTTTGTCTATTCTTTTTCATTAACGATCACTTAACTTAATTAATTAATTATTTAATTTAAAAACTTCTCTTTGTAAACCATCCTTTCATAATCCATGCATTTCATCCTTAAACATTCTTACTCCGTTACTTATTTTCCATTATCATTTTAGACTAATGTGCCTTGCATGTCGTAACAGTTTCTGGATTTTTAAAGAATAATAATAAAAATAATAATTCTGATTTTGACGGTTTAATTGTTTTCTATTATTTTTTTAAATTTTATTATTTATTCAAAAGGTTATAAAATGCTGCTTAAATTCAAAATTTGTCCAGGTGAATCAGGCCTCGGAAAGTCAACGGTCATCAACAGCCTTTTTCTCACTGACCTTTACCCTCACAGGGTCATACCCAGTGCTCAAGGTCAGATGATGCAGCCCCATACAACTAACCTAATCTTATTACATATAAAATGATCTCACCACACACACACACACACACACACACACACACACACACACACACACACACACACACACACACACACAACACACTTATACATTTATAGAGATAGTGAAAATCTCTCTTTCTCTCTCTCTCTCTCTCTCTCTCTCTCACTCACACACTACACTCACACATACACAAGCAACTATAGATACATAGCCACACGCACACACCACGCGCAACTACAGATACATAGCCACACGCACACACATCCACACACACACACACATACGCACACACACACCCACACACACACACACGCACGCCCATACAACCACAGAAAAAGCCGTAAGCACAGTAAACATCGAAGCTTCTACAGTAGAGATTGAGGAGAGAGGGGTGAAACTGAGGTTGACAGTCGTTGATACTCCCGGGTACTCCGATCCTATCAATGCTAATAACTGGTTGGTTGGTTGGTTGATTGGTTGGTTGGTTGGTTGGTTGGTTGGTTTGTTAGTTGGTTGATTGGTTGGTTGGCTGGGTTAGTTGGTTGATTGGTTGGTTGGTTGGTTGGTTAGTTGGTTGATTGGTTGGTTGGTTAGTTGGTTGATTGATTCTCTTATTGACTGATTGCATTGCTATTTGAGTAGCTTGTTGGCTGGCTGAATGAATGATTTTACACAGCCGAAACACACAACTGAACACCAGAACCAACACTTATACACACACTTCACAGCTTCGAGACCATCATCAACTACGTGGACTGCCAGTATGAGAAGTTCCTTCTGGATGAAAGTGGGCTGAACAGGCGACACATCCAAGACACCAGGGTTCACTGCTGCTTCTATTTTATCAATCCTATTGGACATGGGTTAGTCTCTGCTTCTTGGTACTGTGCATAGGTGTGTGTGTGTGTGTGTGTGTGTGTGTGTGTGTGTGTGTGTGTTAACATTTGTTTGTTTGTTTAGTTTGTTGGTTTGCTTCATTTTTATGTCGTTACTTGTAGTAAATGTTTGATTTGTATATCTAATTACTCTACCTACTCTTGCTGAATTTTTAAGATTAACAAAAGTTTCTTTGGTCCATATAAAAGAATTCCTAATTGTTTTCACATGACTTTGTGAATTAATTATTAAGTGTGTGTGTGTATGTACGTGTGTGTGTGTGTTTGTGTATGTGTGTTTGTTTGTGTGTGGTGTGTTTGTGTGTGTGTGAGCGCGCGCGCGTGTGTATGTGTGTGTGTGTATGTGTGTGTGTAAGAAACATCTTAATAAGAAAGTCAATAAGATAATTAAATATACTTGACAATTTAAAAAAAGCAATAAAATTAATAATAATAGTATTTATAATAAAATTAACATTAATAAAATAAAGATAATAATAAAAATAATAAAAATAATAATAATAATATAGCATAACATTTTATAACACAAAAAGAACAATAATAAAAATAATATTAAAAAAGTTTGATAACAATGAACGACAGATTGAAGACCTGCAGTTCATAATGCAGTTCAGTGCATAATAATAACAATAATAATAATGATGATGATAATAATGATGATAAAAATAATAACATTATAACATTTTATAACAGCATACAAATAATAATAATAATCAACAAGGACAGATTGATGCCGCTGGACCCGCTGTTCATAATGCAGTTCAGTGCATAATAACAATAACAATAATAATGATGATGATGATAATAATAATAATAATAATGATAATAACAGTAATAACATTATAACATTTTATAACAGCATAAAATAATAAAAATATTAATAACAACGACAGATTGAAGCCGCTGGACCTGCAGTTCATGAAGGCCATTGACCACAAGGTCAACATCGTTCCTGTCATCGCTAAGGCTGACACGCTCACCAAAAGTGAACTTCTGACTCTTAAGGCCAAGGTGTTCCGCGCCAATGAATTATTTTTTCCACTATTTGATAAATATTATTTTTTGTATTTTTTTTTTAAATTTATTAACGAAATAACAGATTAAAATTTTTACAGATTATTGTTCTTATTATTTGTATCATTATTGTTCTTCTTCTTTTTCTTCTTCTTCTTATTATTATTATTATTATGTCCAGGTGATGGAGGAGATAAAGAAGCATCAGATCCAGATATACACTCTGCCGGACTGTGATGACGATGAGGACGAGGATTATAAACTGCAGTGTAAGCAGTTGAAGGTCAGTCGGCTGGTCTGATTGGCTGGTTGGTTGGTTGGTCGGCTGGTCTGATTGGTTGGTTGGTCGGCTAGTCTGATTGGTCGGTTGGTTGGTCGGGTGGTTGATTAGCTGAGTGTGAGTGAGTTAGTGAGGGAAGGATTGATTGATTGATTGATTGAGTTTGAGTGAGTGAGTGAGTGAGTGAGTGAGTGAGTGAGTGAGTGAGTGAGTGAGTGAGTGAGTGAGTGAGTGAGTGATCGTCCACTGTGCCAGCTGTTATTGTTTCTTCTTCATCGAATTGACAATTCATTCATCAGTCTAGCCATGAATAAGCTAACTAGTTAATTACTTCAATTACCAATTAAAAGGATTAATGAGATGATTTATTGAAGAGTTAATAAGATGATTAATTAAAGGGTTAATGAGATAATTAATTAAAGGCTTAATAAGATGTCCAACAACGCGACAACGACATTATCAACCCCACCCAGGAAGCTGTGCCTTTCGCAGTAATAGGTTCGAACGTGATGTTGGAGGTGAGGTCACGAAAGGTCAGAGGTCGCATGTACCCGTGGGGCGTGGTCGAGGTGGAGAACCCTGAGCATTGCGATTTCATAAAACTGAGGACTATGTTGATGTAAGTTAGAGCATTTGGTTGATCGGTACTCTGCTGTTTGTTTGTTTGTGTGTTGTGACGACCATTGCCATCATCATCATCATCACCACTATCATTATCATGATCACCACCACCATTATTATCATCATCACTATCATCATCATCATCATCACTGTCTTAAAAAATCACCATCATCATCATTGGACCCCATATGTTTTGTTGCTGTGACCATTATCATCATTACCATCATCATCATCATCACCTTAAAACATCATTATTGTCACCATCAACGTCACCACCATAAAACATCATCATCACCACCATAAAGCATCATCATCACTACCTTTAAATATCATCACCATAATCATTGGATCCCCCCCTCCACATACACATCCCTGATTAGCGCCCACATGCAAGACCTTCAAGAAGTGACCCAGGAAGTCCACTACGAGAACTTCAGGTCGCAGAAGATCTCACAGGCTGATGGATCAGTTCCTAGGATTAGGTTATTATTATTATTATTATTCTCAATATTTTTATTATTATTATTATTGTTCTTCCCATTGTCATCATCATCATCATCATTAATATCATTATTATCATAGTAATTATTATTTCATAGAAGGAAATTAAACCTATTCGAGTACTATTACTACTACTACTACTAATAATAATAATAATAATGATGATGTGATGTTGATGATGATGATGTGATGATAATGATGAGTATGATGGTGATGTGATGATGATGATTATGATGACAATGATGTGATGATTATGATGATAATGATGTGATGATGATGATGGTGATGTGATGATGATTATGAAACAGACAATCGAGGATGATAGCATCTGATAAGGATGATAAACTGAGTGAGAAAGAAAGAATGCTGATGGAAAAAGAAGCAGAGGTTTGGTTGATTGTTTGATTGAATGACTGATTGGTAGGTTGGCTGATGGGTGGATTGATTGAGTGATTGATAAGTAGATAGATGAATGGATGGATGGATGGATGGATGGATAGATAGATAGATTGATAGATAGATAGATAGATAGATAGATAGATAGATAGATAGATAGATTTATTGATAATTATTGATAATTATTGATTTATTGATTAGTTCGCTTTTTGATTGATTGGTAAGTGGGAGGCTTTTTGATTGAATGATTGACAAGTTGATTGATTACATGATTGACGCGCGCGCGCACACACCCACACACACACACAAACACACACACACACACACACACACACACACATACAAATACTCAGCTGAAGAGGATGCAAGAAATGATCACCAGGATGCAGGCAGAGATGATGAAAAAGTCATCACCATCATCTTCGTGTGTCAATGTCAATGGATGATGATGATGATGATGAGGTAGTATTGTTGCGTCATTATCATTGCGTGTACTCCACATTAGCATGATGTACATTTAAGTTGTGTACATTTGTTATCTTTCGCTGCCATTCTTGTATTTTTTGCAATTGTATGCGATGTGCCATCTCGCTTCATTCTTGTTCTTACTAATTTATTTAGATTCTTTGTTCTTTCATCATCTGTTTGTTGGTTCATCTTCGGTTCATCCATTTGTTTGTTTGTTTGTTTGTGTGTGTGAATGAGGTAGTGGTAGTAGTTTGGTGATGTTCGTTTGTTTGTTCTGTTTAAAACGTTCATGTCTGTTTGTTCATCATTGCCTTTGTTTGTTCGTTATTTTCAGTTCATTGCAACTAAACCACAATGAACATCACGTAATTAATTATTATCAATAATATTATAACTAATTATATTATTAACCTAATTAATAGTTTAATTAATAATCATGTTTTTTATTATAATTTAATCAGTAATTATGTTTATTTTATTATAATTTAATTAATAATTATGTTTTTTTGTTGTTGGTCGGCAGATTAGAACTGGATCAGAAGTAGAATTTTCATTGCCGGCCCACGTACCAACATATTTACAACTTGTTGTAAATCAGCTTTTCGACTACTTATTTTTTAAATTCAGACGTTTCATTGTTCATGTTCTTTTTTCACAGTAAAAATTATTTTCATCTTTATGTTATACAATGTTAAAATACATATATAATCAACTCTCATTGAATTATATTATTGGCTAGTATTAGTAACTGAACTGTGCTAGTTTGAATGTTCTTTCGTCACGTTCATCTATTTAGTCTGAAAGTAATGTATTATAAATGCACTTTGTTTAATTATTTTGCTTGTTTGTCACGCGGCGAATTTCACACACACACTCCATACATGTTTAAGACATTTCAATTTAACAAAAGCCAACCATCTAGTCTAAGAATGCAATCATATGTCTTTAAATTTAATTATATATATATATATATACATATATATTCATTTATTCAGTCACATTATTACTGACTTCAATATTTTTGTACACAAACTTTACAAGCCGTCAACTTTTAAAATCATCTAAAACTTATAAATTTCAAATTATTTTTCATTTGCAGTGTTTGCATTTTTAAAAATTTTCTGCCATTAATGTTTATCGTGCAATTTTACATGTTTGGAATTATTCATTTAAACATTTATGAAGCTTTGTTACTCAAATTTATATTATTCAATAAATTGCCATATTTTATATGATAAATTTCTTGTAGATCCTTCCGTTATTCACTAATCTACAAATCAAAACTCGTGTGCTCAAAAGTATTGCTTCAACATCCAAATATAAGCTTCATACAGTTAGGTCGAATGCAGTTCTACAAACAGATGTTTTGAAATAATTGCTCTTACTAGTTAAATATATTCTCATATTTTTAAAGCTGGTTCTGCTGCGTTGAAACGAGTTAGGGCCAGCCATGTGACCAGAGGTAGGATGCACTTGAATAGAAATTTTTGAAAGGCAGTTACAGCAAGACATAGAAAGCAGAGATTTTTCGAAACACAGCAAAATATTTTCTTGAAGAATAGTTACAAACTAATTTCAATAAAAAAAAACATTTACAAAATAGGAAATATAGAAACACAAATGAAATAATTCATCATCGGTGAGGCAGAAAGTTAATAGCGCGCACGCACGCTTGACAGCAAATTCATAATCACTGCCGAACACTGCTGACAAATAAAATGAAGCAGCCAAATGAAAAAAGCAACTAAAAAATCAAAAAATGTTATGCTAAAATATAAATGTACGCCAGGGTTTCCACCTCAACCCAATCTGGAGAGGAGGTTGGTTAACTTAACATTGTTAAATGTTAACTTAACAAGCCCCGGAGATTTGTTCTGCATTCCAACTAGCGTCAAGTTGCGTCAGGGCCCCACGAACGACTACCGCGAACTTTCTCCATGGACGAGCCACAAGGAAAGCATCAAACGAGCAGCCGCCCGAAAGGACTAGCAAGCAATCGACGGTCGAAATGTAAATGGCGCCCCTTTCTCGGAATCCGGTGAAGTTGATTCTTTTTTTACTTGTGAAATGCCATCTGCGTTGCGAATGAAAGTAATACGTAGGAAAACATGCACAACGTTCAGTGAGAAAGCGTATTTTGAGGTGTAGGGTTAGGAACGAGTCGGCCGCCAACGACGTTCAACACGAAGTATATCGACGGCCGGAACACCGGACCCGAGAAAAAGAGGCCAAGTTAGGAGCGATCTTTTTATTTATACTTCTTGCTGGCCAATAAGATTTGACTTTGTAGGGATGTGCTTTTTATTTGTTTTAATTTTGTTTCTTGACTATCATGTGCTGATGTTAGTATCATACAACTATTATACATAAAGTTAATGCGTTTTGATTTTTTCATTGTTTGTTTTATTTGTTTCTGTTGTGTCGATAAGCAACATTTTTCAACTTTTTTACTTTCATATACAAGTTTATATTAACAAATTTAATGAAATTACGTATAGCCCAATTTTTCTGCAAGGCTCCTTATACTTTTCTGTTCAAGCACTGAATTATCATATCGTGAAGTCATGTGGCCTCATATCATGATTGAAAATTACATACATATCTTCTGTGAAGAAATTGAGCTATAGAGCCCCGGTTTACGATCGTCTTCTTCTCGCTTTTTCTTAACTCGTGTTAAACACTCTTTTGCCAAATCTGCTTTTGCTTTTTCTGGTCCTTTTCTCTGGAACTCTCTACCTACTTCTCTGACTACTTCTCCATCACTTGCGAAGTTCAGAGCGGATCTCAAGACCCATCTGTTTTCAAAATTCATTGAGGAGCGCTGTTGAACATCGCGGAAATAGCGCTTTATAAGCTAATTGATTGATTGATTGATTGATAGAGCTAGCATTTGCATTGTTATAAAATCACGCTCAATAGTTAATAACAACCGTTACGTTGAGTGTTTAGTTTGCTCTGGGGCTCATTGTTTCAATAATTTTATTCAAACTTTTCAAACGAAATTTCAATTCCTTACAAGGTTTAAAACTGCCCTCAAAGAATTCAACAAATTTGGTAAAGAAACACTAATGAGCATCTTGTGAATGGTGTTATCAAACATTAAGAGATTAATTAATCATTTACTTTTTTTTTGTTTAAAATCTTGAAACAAATTTGCAGGTGTCAAGATATGATTTAACAAAATGGAAGTTGTTACGCTGTAAAAAAATGGCATTGTCAATTTAATAAAAATTCAAACAATTGTTATCGCCATCTGCATCATCATAACTCATCTCAAATCTTCATCACTTATCCTGAATGTCGATGGATTCCACGGGGTCTGTCCTGTTGTTGGAATTGGTTGGTTGTTTGGTTAGTTGGAGTGTCGGTTGGTTGGTTGGTTAGTTGGTGTGTCGGTTGGTTGGTTGGTCGGTTAGTTGGTGTGTCGGTTGGTTGGTTGGTTGGTCGGTTGGTTGGTGTGACGATTGGTTGGTTTGGGGTGTGTTCATATTTTGAACAAGTTATCATTACAATTTATTTATCTATTTTTTTCATTAATAAGTTGTACCCAACATCAAATGATTTCATGTAAATTGCTCTTCCTAATTTTAATTAGTGTATATAATTAACGTAAATAAATATTCTTTAGAGTTGAGTACACCAAATTACATTACCTATCATAACCAACTATATTTTGTTACACTAAAAACTTATTTAACACTATAAATGATTTAATTAGCATTGAAAGGTACTATAAATAAATATATATATAATTATATATATATAAGAAATTTGCTAATAAGAAAAATTTAGGGTAAATTTAATGTAATAAAGATTTCTACAAATACGCCAAATAACTGTAATTGGTTCTCTTCCTCTTGAACAGGGTGACGATGACGAATAGGCCGACTATGAAGGTGGTCAGTCCAAGCATGATGAACACAAGAACCTTGACCTTTGACATCTTCTCACTGCCCTCGGTCAGGGCATCGTGTAGGCCGAGTCGATAATAGACTGAAATAATCGAAATGAATAAAAATTTACCGTTTTGTTAATAAAAATTTTCCAAAGTTTATTAAATAATAAATTGGCGAATTAAATTTGGATTTTTATGTAATTTAATAATTTATATAATTAAATAATACTAGAAGTTCCATTTTAGAGAAATCATTTTTTTCCTATGTGACATCAAAAAATCGTGAAATGCTTTAAGTGGAAGGGGTTAGAAATTTGTGACAGTTTGTCTTGTGACAAAATAGATCAAAAACTTAAAAAACGCTACTTTTTTATAGACAACTTTTTTATAAACATTCTTTTTTATAAGCAAACACTGATACCAACTTCCTGGTCGGTATCAGTATTTGTGAAAATGTGAAATAGAAATTTATTGATAAAAGTAATTTGGATGGAATGAAATAGGCCACCGTTCGTTGGATCACTGATGTTCCCAGAGGACGAACAGATCAAGGCTGAACTATTTTGCTCGATCTGGACTTTCTCATACAGTGTCTTCGTGAAACGTTTAAAATTGCAATTTTGATTTTATAAAATTATATAATGAACATGGAATTTTAAAGTTATGGAAATAATAATTTGTCAATTAGTTATAAAGATGGTTAAAAATTGATACCATTTTCTAATTAGAACTTCGAGATTTTATTAATTAGTTAATTAGCGAAAGAAAATTCAATTTCTAGGTATTTAAATAACATTAAAAATACCCGTTCAACAAAAATGATTCGCAAACTTTGATGAAAATCAATCACGATACAATGAATGTAGATATATTTTATTATTTAATAGTTTAAATAATAACTGAATTAATAAAGAAATATAAAATAATTAAATAAAAACGAGACGTAGAAAAATGAGCTGACAATCAAGATAGAATCCACTGAAAGATTGGAAAAGGAGATGCTGAGGTTGTATAAGACCGGATCTGGATCGAACTCCATCAGATGAAACAAGTACAACCTCTTGTCTGTCTGCTTCTCGCTGGCGTTAAAAACTTTCAGACAGGTGACGTTAATATCCTGAAAGGGTCTGTAGGGACTTGGTGGGTCCAGGAACATCATGAGCTTGTAGTCCGTGCTGCTGAAGTTGCTGTTTTTGTTGGAGCCGGTTCTTCCGGTGCTGTTGTCATTCTCCGAACTTTTAATCTTCACCGGTACTGTTTGATTGACATGAGATGGATTGTTTAGATGAGTGGTTTTGTTACTCACTATCACTCTAATAACTCATAGAATTCAAATTCTACTAATTCAAAATTTTAATCTTAAATGGTTGGTCGATTGATAAAATGACAAAAAAAATACGCTATACGTCTTCCACTGAGATTTAAAATGCTTACATATATGTGATAGTTGCATTATACAACCCAATAATGAACAAGTATTTATGAGTGTTCATTAATTTCGATTTTTTACGATTTAAAATCTCAATTTCAACAATTCAAATCAATTAAAAATAATTAAAAAGTCTTACTTTCGCTTAACGATGCAGGCAAATCGAAAGCCAAAAAGAGCACTATCATTTCAGAAATTACATTGCAGACATTCCCGCCAATGCTTAGTTTCATTTTAGAATTTCAAACAGAAACTAATTTGAAAAAATTATATTTATGAGAAAATTCAAAGAGGATTGTTTATTATAAGCGATGACGTTGACTCGAAGTACAACATAATTATACGAAATTTTTTCATTCATAGTTTTACAAAAAATTTTATTAACATGATTGATTCACGCGATAAAAGTTCGATAACTTGCTCAAAAATTGAACTGCACACACACCAACTCTTAAACAAACATACACATGGAGTGCACCATCGGTACGACGGATTTTGTCATCGGTGGGCCATCACGCGAGCAAAGAGTCAAATTCTCGACAGGCATTCCCGTGAAAAGGACTGACAGACACACGCTCCCGTGCCACTGCTGCTTTGGACGTCGCGTTTTCTTTTATCCTCAAGTGCAGCGATTCGAGGTCTTTCTAATCCATCGACCGCAGACTTGCATTTCCTTATCCACATCGAAGAGCATCATGGCAAAAGGAGCCTCGATTGAGTCCACATTTCTTCAGGTTGTCCTGTATGACCGCACTGCGCCGCTTGCGAGACGACTTCCAGTGGCCAGCTGTGCGAAAAACACTTGTTTTGAGATTTATGAGTCCGGCAATCAAAAGACATGACCAGCCGAACAAAACTGGGCCTAGAGTATAAAGGCTTCAATGCCGATGTTTATAAAATTATACTTACGGGTCGCTTTTCAGAGTTGCAATGCGGGTGTTCCAATTTGTTATCGCACCGATGATGACGTCTTTAAAATCAGACGCTTGCTGGCAAAGGCAAAAACTTTGACAGCCACCTTCTCTTTGCTGATGGCAGTGCTCCGGTTGCACATTCGCCTCAGGAAGTCCAGCCGCTGTTCAATCGTTTTCACGACAATGCCAAAAGATTCTGACTCATAGTTAGTCTGAAAATGACAGAAGCCTTATGTCAATCGTATCCTGTGTCTCCAGAGGCAGCGGCCGACGTGATGGCAGATGACGTTCTAACTCTATGGGCAGATTTTGCTACCGTGGTTGTTATCTGTCAAACACTTTTACTATAGACGACGGTCACTGCAAGGTTAGCTAGGGCAGGGGATGCATTTGGAAAACTGAACAGACGGCTGCAGAACAAACATGGTATATATCTGTGCCCCAAGGTTGCTGTTTACAGAGCAGTCGTGTCATCTTTACTGATGTTTGGATGCGAAACTAGGACCACATATCGCCGCCACATGCGTAGGCTTGATCGGTTCCACTTCCACATGAGATGCCACCGTAAAATTGCACACATGAGATTGGAGGACAACGTGCCCAACACAGAAGATCTAAACTAACACACACACACGCACGCACACACACATACAAATAGATTTCTACCACACCTATTTATTTATCATACTTATATCTTCATTATAATTTTATAAACATGGGATCGTTAAATTTAAAAAAAATAAATTTCAAAAACAGTTGTTGCCATCTTTATTCGAATGGATGTTCAAAATTTGATCTCAATGGAAAATAAATATACTGACATTGAATATCGACCATACTCATATTATTACTATTTATTAAAATAACATTGTTATTATTAAAAATATTTAAAATGTTCATATTATTATTAATATCACTTTATTAGTAGTAGTAAAGTAGTACCATTAATATCATCATCATCATCTTCTTCTTATTATTATTATTGTAATAGTAGTAGAAGTAGTAGTAGTAGTAGTAGTAGTAGATACCTTCTTCTAACAAATGGCATCAGCATTTTAAAAAATGGTGATAATGGTGATAACAATTTTAGAAAATTATTGAAAATAATAAAATAAACTCGGCACCAAAAAATTACAACTGAAAACATACATTCATTAAAAATGGATGGATACAAACGATAGAATGAATGAATGAATGAATGAATGTGAATGAATGAATGGACGAATGATTGATTGAACGAATAAATAAATAAACAATATCAAATGAATGATTGGGCAAATATGGTTGATCAATCAAATGATTGGGCCAATGGTTGATTTTAAAATTGAATGTAATCTATACACGAACGCATAACTAAAACATAACCAGTACTACTCACCTGATAAATAAACCAGCACACCGACCAACCAACCACAAACGAGAAATTTACTCACAGGCAAAACGTCTCGGAGATGAAAGACCCCACCTAAAAAATATCTGCGACACAGCTTTTTTCATACTTTTTTCATACATTTGCATCATCTTATCATAAGCCTACAACTTCTAGAGGCCCATTTCTCCCACCCATGCATGCACTAATCATCTTCTCGAACGCTCACACAGCTGAGATGCGCCGAATAGTTAGTGAATTCAGCCAAAGTTGACCGAAGCCAAAGAACAAATAAGAAAAACCCACAATTCTTAAAAAAAATTATTTTTTAAAATGAGAAACAATTCATTGACAAATTAAAACAGCAGACGATTCACGTCCATTCAACTCAACAATTCTTCATCGAGATACTAATATTCAACCCCTTGTCTATATTTAAATGTTTCAATTTAACCATCCCAAATAAATTTTTCGCTCACAACAATCAGCGATTAAATGCTCTTTAATCAAAAAAGTGATGACGGTTGTCAAACTTTGACCGAATTATCAACCAGGCCAAATATTCGGAGCAACTCCAACAAATCAAACGAAACGAAACGAAACGAACCTTTATTCGTTTCGTTTCGTATATATGTATACATATAAGCGTATATATATATATATATATATATATATATAAACATATCTACATATAAACATATATATATATATCATATTATTATCTATTATCTATATAACTAAAAAGCTGATATATGCTCCTATGAAGCTTACACATACACACCTACATTTGTAAAGTGTCCACACGTACAACACACACACACAAACACGCACACACAAACACGCACACACACACACACGAAGCTTATAATTAATTGATACTAGAAAAAAAATCTTTCAACAAAATTGAAAATCGCATTCGAGTAAAATCAAAGTAAATATAGTGAAGTGCATGGGGATTGATCTAAGGCATCAAAATATAAACGAATAAATTAAGAGTTAGTAAAAATGATAAATAAAACGAGTAAAAACTGAGACAAATAAGCATACACATACACACAGACACACACACGCATACACACACACAAACACACATATGCAGACACAGACACGCATACACACACACAGACACGCATACACACAGACACGCATACACAAACACACATACACAGACGTACATTCACTCTATACACTATATATCACATAACATACACACAAAACCCACATATATTTCAGAAGGCCCAAAAAAACATAAAATAAAATTAATGAAAAAAAATTAATACTGCACATCAACAATATCATAATCATCACCATCATCATAACTGCTATCATTATCATCACTTTCATCATCATTAGCATCGAGGCAATAATGATCAATACTGACACCACCACCATCATCATCATTAGCCCGTCATCATCATCATCATCACCATCATTATAAATAATCACGACAATTTCAACTCCAAAATAAATAAATATTTATTTTAAAAAATTTGATACACATGTATGAAAAAAAATATACGAACGAAATGTACACACTTAACCAAAACCTACAAATTAAATCAATGTGTATATATATATATATATATATATATTATATATATATATATATATACACACATACATATATATATAAACATGTATAAGATATATAAAAACACATATTAAGTCAAGTTTGTGATATATAGCAATATAACCAATAATGTGAACGAACAAATGAATGAAAGGACTGATTCAATCGCTAGAAAGCACTTTGTGGTAGTTCATTATGTTAGAAATCGGTGGGTAAGAGCTATTTAAATCGTGATAGAAAAAAAAAAGTCCAGTAATGCATCAATATGAAATGAATGCAATTAAGTTATGTGAATTCGTTACGTTTCGTTTCGTTTCGTTATCGTATGAATTATCTGCTAACACGTTTTAACTATCTTTATTATTAATCTTCGTCATTTCAGTCAGAGTCTCTATCTTTATAACTGACAATGTTTAATCACTCATTCAGATGAGAACACATAAACTCTCTGAAGATTATCAGGTCAAAATCAATCACCCAACAACAACGAAACAACCCCCATCACCTAATGTCATCATCACCCCATGAGGTTCTTTTTGGAACCAAACATGAGACCCGCGGCAGTGACTGTCCCTGCCTGCCTCCCCTTCTGCCACACGGACCCGTGCAGAGTGATGCCGTCGATGGTGGCCGACAGATGCTTCGTTGACGTCACTTCCGAGAAGGTCTTTGACCCGGAGTTGTATCTGTCGTGTGTGTCAAATTTGCGCGCGTGTTTGGAGTATATTGCGTGTGTGTGTGTGTTGTGTATATACCTGTGATGTTGTGTGTGTGTGTGTCCAATCCATTCATTCATCCATCAATCCATTCATTCATCCATCAATCCATTCATTCATCCATCCGTCCATTCATTCATCGATCTACTCATCCAACCATTTAAATCAATCAACCAACTTGAAAAACTTTTCAATCAGTTTAGAGGTGACGATTTTGGGGCCGACACCGTGCAACTTAACGATCTCATCCCCATCTGCCCCGCCATTGGAGGCGGTGGTGCTGTAGGCGTAGAGCCCCCGGTACTGCATGCCCACGTCCCTGAACAACACGACAAAATGTTTGCTCTCTGACCTCTGCAGGACCTGCACGCGTTGGGGTGGGTGTCGTGAGTTGGAGGATGTTTCATCATAATTGAATGTCAGTCACAACGTTCAAGCAACTAATCAACGAACCAACCAACCAACCAACCAGCCAGCCAGCCTACCAACCAACCAACCAACCAATCAGCCAACCAACTAATCTACAAACCAACCAGCCAACCAACCAGCCAGCCGACCAACCAACCAACCAGCCAACCAACCAGCCAGCCAACCAACCTCTAGCACTTTAGCCTTATTATCTTGATTGACAGTTCCGGCAAGGCAGCAGTGACTCAAGGCATTTTCAATCAAGTGCCTGTTCGATTTGCTGCTTGGTTTCACGAACAGTTTGGGACCTAATCACGTGATCATAATGACGATGACGTCAATGATGATGATGAACATATACGAACAAACACAAACAAACATGAATAAACATGAACAAACATGAACAAACATGAACAAACACAAACAAACACAAACAAACCATTATAAGAGGACGGAGTTGATTGGGCATCGACATCCTGAGCAATGTTGAAATTGCTGCCCACCATATCTGCATCATACAGACGGTTGTACGTGAAAGTTTGTATGGCGAAAATTGAATACAGGTGTTTGTATGTCAAATTTGTATAAAGAAGTTTGCATACAGAAGTTTGTATGTCACAGTTTGTATACAGAAGTTTGTATACAAACGTTTTAGTGTGTACCACCGATGTATAATACATTCACATTGAAATGTTTGGAATCACACACAGGCATAGAAACACTGGTTTACGTAAAAATAAACAGAATGACTGAAAACATACACACCAACATCAACAACAACATCAACACCAACAACAACATCAACAACAACATCAACACCAACACCAACATCAACAAACAACTACAATGACATCAAAAACACCAACAAAACATCAAGCCAACCATGATTGAAAGCATTCTCGCCATCAACACCATCGCCGGTACAGACATCACTACCACAGCCACCTGCCATATTTTTACCAGAGTAGACGCTCAGGTACTTGTTAGTATTGACGCTACGACCGGCGACCAAATTACTGAAGCTGCCCTTGACATTCAGATTACTGCTGCCACTGTTGCTACTGTTGCTACTACTGCTGCCTCTTCTCCGGTTGTTGTTGCTGCTGGTTGTGGCAACTTTATTCGCAAATGGAAATGACGATTGTTGTTGTTGTGGTTGGTTGTTGTTGTTGAGTTGGTTGGATTTGTGAAATTTTTTAACTTTCTGCTTGTTGAGCGTACTGGTGGTTGATCTCGTTGTGTTTGTTGTGGTGGCTGCTAATGTTGTCGCAGACGCCGACAGAGCTTTGTTCTGTTTCAAAGTCGTCAAACTTGAATGTTTCGTTAACGTTTGCTGCTGCTGCTGAAGTTGTTGATGCTGTTTTCTTGACGAGCCTGTTCTCGTCAGAACTTTTTGTTGTTGTTGTTGCTTAGAAATGACGTTATTGTCACCATCGAAGTGACCACTGCCACCACCAGCGACAGCCACATTAGTGACTCCAATATTTGCTCCACTGCTCAGACCCGCGTTCGAACCATCGACCCCTGCCTTCTTCTGCTGGTACATAGCGAAAATCATCTCTCGTCTCTCTTTCCCCTCTGCTCTCTTTCTTTGTTCTTCTTCATCTTTCAATCTGGTGGTGTGGATATGTAAGTTGAAGAATTAAAGATAAGAAGCAACAGACCAGCAAACAACAACAAAAACAACAACCACCAACCAATAAAACAGCATCAAACAACATTCAACCAGACAAGGTACAATAGACAAGCAACCAGCAACCAGCAACGAGCAACCAACAGGCAACCCACCTCTTAACTTCTCTCATCATTCTTGCCTCATCTTCCATCTTCATCCTCTTCATCTCCATCTCCTCCTTATTTTTTCTCAATCTCTCTTCAATTTTCATGTACCTCTTCTCTATTTCTTGCTGCTGTTGTCCATCCATCAACAGTTGATTCTGTCACGTGTGTGCGTGCGTGTGTGTGTGTATGTGCGCGCGCGTATGTAATGGTGTGTGATGTATGTATGTGTGTGAATGCACGTGCCGTGCGTACAAGCGTGCGTGTGTGTGCGTGTGTGTGTGTAGCATCATCACCGCCACATCAACTCACCTGATCATCATCATTTTCCTTATCATCACCACCATCATTCTCATTGCCCTCCCCAACATGCATCATATCATCATCATCGTCATTGCCGTTGGTGGTCGTTTGTTGCTTGTTGACGGTTTTTGTTGAGGTTGTTGTTGCCGATGTTGCAGTTGTTGTTGATGATGTTGTTGTTGTTGTTGGAGACATCTTCTTCCCTACGTCAATCTCATCGTTGTCATTATTATTTCCTTTAGCACTGCTGCTGCTGCTGTTTTTAGCAACCTCGTCATCACTGTTAGTAGCTACTAATAGTTGCTGCTCATCAGCATAATTCCGGTTTTTCCCATGCGGTTTTTTATCCAGGCTGGAAAACTGCGTGGGAGGATGTTTTCTTCTTGAGAGTGGCGATAAGAGTAGTGATGGGTTGTCCGGATGACCGCCATCATCAAACCCGATGAAAAATCCTTGTGGCTTGTTTAGCGGCTTTTTGACGATTGTCGTTGTGGTTGTTGTGGTTACTGCCACTGCTGCCGTTGTAGTCGTCGGTGTCGATGTTGTGTTGTTGCTACGAGCTGTTTCGAGATTTTCAAAATGAAGATCAACACTTTTGCCATCGTTGTTGTTTTGTTGTTGTTGTTGATGTTGATGTGGTTGCTGCTGGCATTTTTGCGACGACGACTGATAGATGATGACGTCATCGTCGACATCCTCATCGACAAACAACTTCCTCTCCACCTTCCCATCCCCGCCATCGTCAAAAACATCACTACCAACACCACTCACGCTTGCCTGGGGTATTGTGGGTTGTCGCTGTCTTTGTTGATGTTGCGGTTGACTATGTTGCTGATAATGTTGATACTGTTGTTGCTGATGTTGATGATACTGTTGAGGAAACTGAGCAACATAGCCAAAACTCTGCGGAGAGGACATTTGTGATGTGATGGGGTAGAATTGTTGGGCATTACGTTGGTAGGTACTGGCAGGGGTGGTTGGGGATTGTGGGTAGAATGGGGTGGAAGACATTATTGGGTAGTGCTGCATGTATGTGGTGGGTTGTGGTTGATAATGGATGGTGTTGTTAGCATGATAAGATCTGTAGGTCGATGGGTGAGACAGTTGCAGATGTTGCGGATGCATTGGTGAGGTGTCTACTGAATAGACAACCGACTGAAGATGGGGACTTTCTTGTAAATTTTGCTGCTGATACTGTTGGTGGTCTAGTTGTTGCAACTGTTGTTGGTACTGCAGAAAATGTTGCTGTTGATCAAACTGCAGTTGATTTTGTTGTTGCTGACGATGCGGTTGTTGTTGTTGTTGGCAGTTGGGATCAGCAACATCCTCGTCCTGGCTGGTTCGCTTTCTTCTCTGCTGTTTTCGTTGCGGTTTTGTTGAAATATTTTGTTGACTCTGCTGCAACACGTCATCAGCAGCAA